TACTCTGTATCTAAAAATTATACAAAAAGTATTTTTTATACTTTGGTAAAAAATTAGTACAGTTCGTACTAGTAAAGTATATAAAAATTAAAAATATGAAAAAAAATTTTTAAATAAAATTTATTATTTTAAATATTTTTCAATATATTTTAAATATTTTCAACTATTATTCAATAGTGTAAGTCAACACTTACACTATTGTTAAAAAAAATCCGTGCAAAAAAATAGAGAACGATTTGAATGATTTGTTGAAGAGATGGCTTAAGGAAGATTATATTTCAAAAAACGAATATTATAAATTACGTTGTAGTGATTCTCTCCTTCCAAAAGCGTATGGATTACCTAAAATCCATAAGGAAAACTATCCAGTTAGAATCATAGTTTCATCGGTTGATACAGCTCTATACTCGCTGGCTTCGTTTTTACAAAACACCTTACGAACTAGTCTACCCAAAGCGAAAAGTCATATTAATAATAGTTTTGATTTGTACAGCATATTGTCTGGTAAAAAGATTGATGAGAATGATAGGATGTTTTCCTTGGATGTGGTGTCTTTGTTTACGAACGTTCCTCTGGATCTTGCGATTGACGGTATTAACGATAGATGGGATCACATTGGAATAAATACTAAAATACCGAAAAACGAATTTTTGGGGGGTATAAAATTCATATTGACTTCTACATATTTTACATTTGATGACATAATTTATAAACAGACGTTTGGGACCCCTATGGGGTCACCGTTATCACCAATTATTGCAGACCTGGTTATGCAAGATCTTGAGGATACAGTTCTCAAAGCGTTGAATTTGGAATGTTTGTTTTATTTTCGTTATGTGGATGACATAATAGTGGCCACCTCTATGACTAATATGACTCAGATTGTGAATAATTTTAACAACTATCATGAAAGACTTAAATTCACGGTCGAACAAGAGGTTAACCATAGCTTGAATTTCTTAGATTTATCACTTAAAATTATTAATAACAAAATATATATAGACTGGTATCAAAAAGAAACCTTCTCAGGAAGGACGTTATCATTTTATTCAAACCACCCACTATGCCACAAAATAGGAATAATATATAACCTTGTAGACAGATGTCTATTGCTATCACATCCACTATTTTTTAATAAAAATTTGGAGTTAATTATTAATATACTCAGAAGCAATGGTTACCCTCTTGATCTGATTTTTAACAAAATTAATCATCGGATAGAACACATCATATCTAAGGGGAGCATTATAGAGAGACAGGCCAACATAGAAAGAATAAAAAGTATAAGAAATGACTCGGTCAATAAAAAATTCTTTGTCATTCCGTATATAGATGGGATCTCAGAAATGATTGTTTCCTCGGTAAAAATAAAAATTGTATGGTAGGGTATAGATGTCTCAACAAACTGGATAATATTATTAAAGCGCAGAAAGATAAAACTAAACATCCATGCAATTCGAATGTGGTTTATAAGATCAGTTGCAATAATGTAATGCATCTTATGTAGGCCAAACAAAGAGGCAATTGCAGACGCGAATAAAAGAACATAAAAATAATATTAGGTTGGACTCAACGAAACATTCAGTAATTTCTGAACACATAATAAATGAACATCATACTTTTAATTGGGACAATGTTAAGATCATGGACAACGAAAATAATTATTATAAAAGACTCATTTCTGAGATGCTACATATCAAGGAACAAAAAAATGGACTAAATTTAAACAAAGATACTGAGTTACTTAGCGAGTCGTATTTTGATATTTTGGATATATTAGCGAACAAGAAATAATAATAGGACAAATAGGACATTAACGAGTAAACATAGATATTAGATCATATATAAACACGCACGCTCTCCGATCAAGTAGAGTTTAAAATGAGCTGTCTTTCGGTATTGTTGGTTTGTTATGTGTCATCCTTAATAACTGTTAATAAGTAGCAAAATTATCAAGAAGAACGATGATAGGTAAGCATACTACCAATTGTAGGGGATACATATTATAATTTGGACATGCGTTGATCGGTATTTTTTATAAATCGCAGCGCCTACGGAACGGGTTAATTTCTCGCATATTAACGATGAAACTATCCGAGATCTGAACAAAATCAGGGATCATATCGAGGCGAACATTGTTGGACAGGATGGATTGAAACACGCGTTAATTACTCAAAAACTCTTGATTCTGAATAACTATAATTAAATTTCAATATTATGTGAATTGTAAGAATTTATATTTCAATAATTATACTGAAGAAGACGCGTGCGGTCGAAATTTATAGAATGATTGTAATTTGCTAGTTTTAATATAATGACTGTAGTTTTATAATTTATACATGTAATAAATGGTAGTTGACTGAACATCTCGAATATTCAGCTCGATAAGTTGGCCTTATATTTATCACTTTATTTATTATTTTATTATTTTTTATTTATTTTTATTTGAAATAAAAATGTTTAAAAAATGTAAGTAAAAACAATTTAAATATAATTTCTAATAATAATTTATAATAATTTTTAAAATTAATTTAACAAATTTGTAATTAAAAAATGTTAACAAATAATATATAAAATATTATTTAATTGTTATTATATATAAAATTATTGTAAAACAGAACAAAAAAATTTCCACAATTTTTATACAGCGTATCTCAAAATATCAAAACTTTCGGTGTGTAAAGAAAATGGAGAAAATATTATATTTCAGATTTACTCATTTATGCTGTGTTGTAGAAAATCACCAAAAAAATATTAGTTTATTCAACATTTGAATGTACGCGATATATTGTCACCAGTCTAATGAATTCACATGTACATTTTTGAAGAGTAATAACTGTAATATAATTTGTAAGAAAACAACAGAGATGTAAATATAAACAAATAAAAGTAAGCAGGTTACTATCTTGCATTTATTTATAATTTTATAATTTTATTTTAGGAAACTTTCTTTTTTTCTATAACGTATTTTATTTAATAATAATGCAAACAAAAAATATGGTACAGAAATTTAAAGCAGTAATAAAATATATCAAAAAATATCATAAAATAAACATTGCAAAATATAAAATTAGAGCAAATTAAAAATCTTTGAAGTAAAATAAGATAGAGCCGTGATAACAAAATTATTGTATGGTTTTTTTTGTTTGCGTTTATTTTATTCTCTTTTTATTTAAAATTAGTCTGTTACTCATTAGAAGTGTACAAGTAAATTAATAATACATGTAACAATATGTACATATTTGAATGAATTTACCAACATGGCTTTATTTTCTTTAAAATAAAGCAAAAATGAGCAAAGTTCATAGCTGGGTAAGCATGCTATTATAAAAGTGTCCCCAACGAGTTTCGTAATGACATTTGGCCTGTCTTTTTCTAACTGTAAAAAACACAATTTTTCCAAAAGTTTTGCTCCCTAACTCTATAATTTCCTGAGAGAAGGTTATTTTTATTTTAATTCTTTTTTCTATCGCAAATATTTTACATCATCACATAAATTTTTTGCAGAATCAACCAAAGACACTAAAAAAAATTTTTTTTGGTTTCTCGAATAAAAACTCGATAAATTTAAATAAAATAAAGAAATGGCCTTTTCAGAATGTTTCTTTCGAGGTTCAATAACCAAACTTTTACAGAATATTCTTTTTTTTATGTCTGAATACTTTCAAAGTTTTCAATTTTTTTCAAGTTGTTGGAATATCTTAAAAAAAATAAAAACTATTTTTTAGCATTATATTCAAAAATTTAAAAGAGCTAATTTCTTCTCATATAGAAATTTACTTTTCGATTACATCTTTGTAAAAGTTGCTGTAATTTTTGTATAAACATAATTTTATATTTTTTATGTATGATCAAAACTATAATTGTTATAAGAAAAATAAATAATGTTTGGAAATAATGCAAAAAAAGTAATTTTTATTTTTTTTAAATGATGCACCAACTCGAAAAATTTGAAACAATTTGAGAGTATTGAGACAAAGACAAAATATTCTGTAAAAGTTTTGTGATTGAACCTCGAAAGGAACGTACTGAAAAGGCCATTTCTTTATTTTATTTAAAATTTTTAATTGAGTTCTTATTCGAGAATAAAAAAAATTTTTTTGGTGTCTTTGGTTTATTAGAATTTAGCAAAAAATTGATGTGTGATAATGTAAAATATTTGCGATAGAGAAAAGAAATAAAAATAACCTTTTCTCTGGACATTATAGAGTTAGGGAGCAAAACTAGGAAAAATTGTTTTTTATAGTTAGAAAATGACAGGCCAAATGTCATTTATAAACTAGTTGGGGGCACTATGCTTGCCCGGCTATATCTTTTGCAACAATTATAAAATTTTTTTTTATTCTTTATGCACTCAAAGCTTGGAATACGTTGGGATACTCTGTTTGGGTTCGGCAAAGTAAATCTAAGACGTTGCAGACGTCTCTTTTTTTACTCTATTTTTGTTCTATTACAATACACTGATTGGAAAATTTCAGGCCACAGTATTTTTAAGTGTAATTCTACTTTTAGTCTATTTATCTATAATTATATATAATTATATTGTAAGTTTAATTTATTTTCATTAAAATTTAAAAAACTGTAAGGTACAATATAATTGGGTTATAAAATTATGATACGCCTTGTTTTACGAATTTAGTTTAAAATATTTTTTTCAAAATCGCATTATTCATGAAATATTCCACCTTTTTTGGACTTCTGGTCACTCTGTATAAATCTAATGTAAGAAAAAAATTATTAAAAATATTTTTTTTTTTCAAAGTATTTTTTACATCACTAATAAATTTATATATAATAAATAACAGAATGAGTCAAAAGAGCATCCAGACGTTTCAGATTGCTTCGCCGAACCCAAGTTCTATACAGGATGTCTGAAAATTCGCGGAACACTCGAGAAGGTAGAGAATGATACAGAACTTTTCTGTTCAGATAACACTCTCTACCTTCCCAGGGTGTTCTGCGAATTTTCGGACACCTAAATTTAAAATGGTGTTACTAACCTTTTCATCCATCCTTTCTTTCGCGACATCCTGCGGCGAGTGAGAGGCAAATGTGTTTTGTCGTATTTTCTTCCCATCACTTTTATAATATATTCTTCTTTTACTTGTATACACTCTTCTAAACACTTCTATACACTTACTACTATAAACACTATACAGCTTTCACTACACGTATATACACAGTCTGTCTAGACTCAACGTGTGTAAGTCAGCTGTTATCTCGCGCTATTACTGCAAGCCGCGTACAGATAGCAGTACACAATGCGCGCAAGTGTAGGTATGTACCAGCCCGGTCATACGCGCAATAGACGTTTTTGGCGCGTAAGCAAAATAACTTATTTTATTTTTCGTATATATGTAGATCTGTTTATATATTCACGACGAAAAAGACATTGATTTGTAAGAAATGTTTATACGTAAACTCGCTATTAGACATAATTATTTATACATATAATTATCATATGTATTTTTATTTGATTCACGTTTTTTTTAAACCGTTTGTATATACATAAAGTGATTAGTGGTATTTAATTTTAGCTAAATACTTATCACATAGATATAATAATATTGTCAAAGGTGAACTAAATATTTAGAAGAACGTTTTGAATTACAACACATTTATACCTAAAAAACTGCAAACTGTATGTACATGTATATTTGTCTATAAGTAAACATCTTTTTTATGATGAATATAAAGGAATAAAAATTGCATGCCGAGTAAAAAAATTTCATGCAATATAAAAAAATATGAAAAAATAATTTTCTAAAACATTTGAAAAATGACTTCGAGACATAAAACAAAATTGATGCAAATTATATCGTGACATAATAAAAATTTTTGTCCCAACATTATTCATCAAATTATTATTATGTTTGACATAATTATAATTTCTACAGAATCAATCAGAAACTTTTATATTGAATGATTTTTTACTCTGCCTACTATTTTTATTTCTTTATATTATTAAAAAGACGTTTATTTATTTTATAAACGTTTTCTAAAATATAGTTCACATCTTCGACAAGAACATATTTATATATATACATCAGTGCTCGGAATTATCTCAGCATTTCAGCCGATTCTCGTATGTCAACGCCTCCTTTTCTCCCTTTGCCGCGCGCGCTGCAGCCGCTAGGACGAGCGCGGCCGAGCCTCAGGAGCGGTACTATCCAATTATGATACGATCTTTCTCCCTTGATTTTTAAAATTTCAAAAAATGTATTAAACATAATTTTTTTTATTTTTACATTATACGTAGAAATATTTCAATATATTTTCATGTGAGGTATTATTGCTGACGTGTTTTTTTAGAGTGGTATCCCCTAGTAGGCCTATTCCACTGTAGAGAAAAAAATAGAGAGGAGAATTTATGATTAAACAATAAAAATATAAAAATATAAACATAAATTTATGATTAAAAAATACTTTTGCCATGCTTCATCAAACGGTATATAATCATAATAATAATATTATATAAAAAAAATTATGTTTAATACATTTTTTGAAATTTTAAAAATCAAGGGAGAAAGATCGTATCATAATTGGATAGTACCGTTCCTGAGGCTCGGCCGCGCTCGTCCTAGCGGCTGCAGCGCGCGCGGCAAAGGGAGAAAAGGAGGCGTCGACATACGAAAATCGGCTGAAATGCTGAGATAATTCCGAGCACTGATATACATATATATATATATATATATATGATAAATATTTATGTAATAAAGTACACACAAATATTATTTTATAATAGAGATATAAACGTTTAAAAAAAATTAAAATCTTTCAATAAAGATGTTTCAAATTAAAATATATATAGTAATTATTTCTATTAATCGTTGTGTATCATATCAAGTTTACGTGTATACATTATTTAAAAGAAAACCTATTTTTCATAAATATTGATGGATTTATTTATTTTTATCATTTAAAAAAAATATACGCGTGAGAGGGGCGAATATGATATCTCGCCAATCAAATCGGGTTTTCCAACCATTGAAAGAAGATAGAAAAAAATGGTTACGCTCTCTCTCTTTCTCTCTTTCTCTCTCTCTCTCTCTCCCTCTCTTTCTCTCTCCTAATTTATCGAGCAATTATACACACATATACACGTTTAAAATATATAAATATATGTAAAAAAAATTTATTTTAATTTTTTTATACGAATATATGAGTAAACGTGAAACAAATCTGTAGCACGTCGCTAAGTTTCAAAGAATAATTGTATTCAATTGTTATTGAGTAATTAAAATTGCCAGAACATAATAACACACACAGTGCGGTATTTATTTAAGAATAATTGAGAATTTTTATTACGACATTTTTATTGGGATATAATTTCACTCAATTGTAACTATGTTGTAGCATAATAATGATTTGTTGAATTACACGTCGGGACATAATGAAAAATTTGATGAATTCTTTTCAGGAATATTACTAATTTGTTGAAATTAGTGAATTAAAACTATGTCGTCACACTAAAAAATTTGGAATTATTATTATGCCTCGATATGTAATAAACCAAATTATTATTGTCTCGACATAATTTGTTTATAACAATAATGGAGTAAAATTATTTTTAGGAACTTTATAAATCGAATTTTTTTTAAGTCAGATTATTGTTTCACGTTTACACATATTTGTATAAAAATAAAATCAAAGCAAACTTTCATACATATATTTATATACTTTACACATGTATATGTGTGTACAGTAGCTCGAGAAATTTGAGAGAGAGACAGAGAGAGAAAGAAAGAAAGAGAGCGTAGCAACATAAAAATCTTGATTAGGGAAAAGCCAACTACGCTCGTCGAAGAAATGTCACATTCGTCCGCTGCCCACATGACGAAGAAACCATGTGTACATACATATACTGCTCGGCGGCTCGACGTTCAGGTAGAAGAGCGCAGACAAGAATCTGCTATCTCTTTCTTTCTCGAGACATATACCTAACGTCTCAAGAATCATGTAAGCGCCGGCACCTGTCTTTTAGCTCTCACGTAACAATGTAAAAATTATAAGTAGATATCAATGTAATTACATATGTCTAATGTTATATCATGAATATGATAATTTTATCCTTTATATTGAAAGTTCTTATTTCTCCTGTATTTCATCGGTTGCATGAAACATTTTCTTCAAGATCATTTTGCTTCGAAAATATTTTTTAAAAATAGAACATACTTAAAAATCATATGTATAATATTATACACACACACACACACACACACACACACACATATATATATATATATATATATGTATGTGTGTGTGTGTATAATATTATACATATAATTTTTTAAGTATCTTCTATTTTTAAAAAATATTTTTGAAGCAAAATGATCTTGAAGAAAATGTTTTATGCAACCGATGAAATACAGGAGAAATAAGAACTTTCAATATAAAGGATAAAATTATCATATTCATGATATAACATTAGACATATGTAAACTTTATATATACGTACATTATACCAAACATTACATATTATATATATATATATATATATATTTTTTACGAATGATTTTCAAGAATATTTTTTTTATATATATATATATATATATATATACATACCAAATTATTCTTGAAATATATAATATATATATATATATATATTCATAAAAATGTTTGGTGCAATGTACGTATATATAGGATAAATAAATGGATAAATTGTTATAACATTATACATATATACAGGATGTCCGGTAACTAACGGACCAACGATTACAAATGGATTCTTTGGTCAATTTGGGAACGATTTTTCCTCAGCGAAAATGTCGAAAAAGGTCATCATTTTTTACAACTTTCCAATATTTGTCATTATGTATCTTTATAACTAAGCCTCAAATTAAAATTTTATTATAGTAAATTCTATCTAAAATTAACTGAAGAATGTAATTATGTTAGACTTTTAACTCCAAAACGTTTAGTTTTCAAAAAACCCATTTTTTTCAATCGCTTATAACTCTAAAATTATTGACTTCTCAACATTTTTGCTAAGGAAAAATCGTCTCCAAATTGGCCAGAGAATCCGCCCTTAATCATTGGTCCGTTAGTTACCGGACACCCTGTATAATAACAAGATGTACTCTACTTATAATTTCATTTTTACGTGAGAGATAAAACAGGCGCCAGCGCTAACATGACTCGAGAAAGAAAGAGACAGTAGATGATATATCTGTCCTCTTCTACTACTCGAAGTCGAACGCCAGAAGCACGTGCGCGCACGCTGTTGTTTTCGTGTCGCTGCTTGCAAACCTACACACGTATATACGTATGTACACATACATAGTCGCACTTGTGTGCTGTTTACGCCGCTCATTTGTTTCGTCGTTTCGTCCAGTTTCGTTTTCGTAGCAGTCGTCCTGGTCGTCCAGTTGCGTCGCGTCGTTGTCTTGTGCGAATCGTGTTGAGTCGTGCTCGTGTCTCGTGTCGATCAGTCGGATCAGATGTGCAGCAAAGATGCAGAGATCATCGCACGCTACAAGAAGAAGTAGTAAGTAGAAATATATTTTTTATTACGTATCAGGCATATAGAATAATGTTTCGAATTTTCGAACGATCGGAATATTAGGAGACGCGGTAGTGTCTCCGGCCATGTTCAAACCCTAAAAGACCTTAAAAGACACTACAAGTCTCCTTATCCTGCACCATCAAAGTCCATTTTTTGGGGGTGTAGAACTACTAAAATATAAAAAATTTTGAATTGCACGTAATATAACCTGAAAGGCGGCATCGCCACGAGTAATTTGAGCCAAGAAAAAATAAAATCGGTCAAGCCGTTCTGGAGATACAAGTGGTCAAAAAGTGACGTTTTTCATGAAAAATGAAGTAACGTCGTCTTCTTCTCTGTCCGCTGACGTCATCAGGATTATATATATATATAAATCTCTTCTCACCTTTCACTCACACCTCCCTCAACTTCCACCCACCCCTTTCCCTCCCACATCCCGCCTCCCGCCCCACCCCCACCCCACTCCCACCCCACTCCCACCCCTCTTTCGCCTCTTTCACCCTCTTTCGTCCTCTTTCACCCTCTTTCGTCCTCTTTCACCCTCTTTTGTCCTTTTCTTTCACCCTCTTTCGTCCTCTTTCGCCCTCTTTCACCCTCTTTTGTCTTCTTTCTTTCACCATCTTTCGCCTCTTTTTCACCCTCTTTCGTCTCTCTCTCACCCTCTTTCATTCTCTCTCACCCTCTTTCACCCTCTTTCATTCCCTCTCACCCCCTTTCGTCCTCTTTCACCTTCTTTCGTCCTCTCACCCTCTTTTGTCCTCTTTCACCACCCTCTTTCGTCCTACCTCACCCTCTTTCTTTCGTCCTTTCTTTCTCACTCTTTCTCTTCACCCTCTTTCACCCTCTTTCGTCTCTTTCCACCCTCTTTCGTCCCTCTCACCCTCTTTTGTCCTCTTTCACTCTCTTTCGTCCTCTTTTACCCTCTTTCGTCCTCTTTCACCCTCTTTCATTTCATTCTTTCTCACCCTCTTTCGTCCTCTCCTCACCCTTTTTCATTCTCTCTCACTCTTCTTTCACCCTTTTCTCCTCTTTCGTCTTCTTTCACCCTCTTCATTCACCTCTCACCCTCTTTCGTCTCTCTTTCTTTCACCCTCTTTCGTCCTCTTTCACTCTCTTTCGTCTTTCTCCCTCTCACCCTCTTTCATTCTTTCTCACCCCCTTTCACCCTCTTTCGTCCTCTTTCACCTTCTTTCACTCTCTTTCGTCCTCTCTCACCCTCTTTCATTCTTTCTCACCCTCTTTCGCCCTCTCTCATCCTCTTTCGACCTCTTTCACACTCTTTCGTCCTCTCTCACCCTCTTTCGTCCTCTTTCACCCTCTTTCGTTCTCTCTCACCCTCTTTCGTCTCTCTCACCCTCTTTCGTCCTCTTTCACCCTCTTTCGTCCTCTCTCTCTCTCTCACCCTCTCTCACCTCTTTCACCCTCGTACGTCCTTTCTCACCCTTTTTCGTTCTCTTTCACCCTCTTTCGCCTATCTCGTCTTCTCTTACCCTCATTCGTCCTCTCTCACCCTATCTCCAAAAAATCATAAAAATGAAAAGGTCAAGCCATGTTCAAAAGAAGGTCCTCAAAAATTTAAACCTAGTCTGTACAATGAAAAATAATTACTCGTAATTCCAGAGTTCCAATTTGTTAATATCGAATAATGTATTTGTTTCAAGTAATGGCAGTAGAGTCAAATACATACCTACGTATATGCAGTTTTTGCTGTTAATTGTACTTGAACGAAAAAAATAATTAAATGATTTAAATATAGCACATTTTAAATCAAGAAACTTATATAATCGAACTCTGTTTAGGAAACGTAGAACATTTCATTTGCCTCTGCCTTTACAAGAAACATTGGATAAGGTATGTCCTCCGGAAGATCCTATAAATTTGAATCACGAGTTGCACATTCTCGTTCGAGGTATACCCAAGAAATCTAAAGTGGTTTGGGAAAATTTGGTAGATATTAATAAAATGTATAAGGCTTTACAATGGTTGAAAGAAAATAATCCTCATTACTCAAAAATTCGTCTTCCAGCGTCATCTGATGATCTATTAAAGGATAAGTTGCAGGAAACAGAATATAGGATTGTCGATGAGGAAAGCGACAATGACGAAATAAATGAGGTGGTTGAGGAATTACCAGCATTGAATTTGTACAATGTACAGCAAAACAAAAATAATAATAATCAAACCGTTTTAAAACGTACGGCTTTTCTCACACAAATCACTGAACATTCGGATATTAACGATCAGTATACAATATACCCAATACACGCGAAAAGAATCGATAACGAATCTGCATTGAAGCTTTATCAAATGGTGAAAATTGAAGATTTTCCAATGGATAATCGTTATAAATATCTGGATGTCATGTATTTCCCTGATTTATATCCTGATGGTGTCAATGGACAACGAGAAGATAGAAACTTTGCATTGCCGGAATATTTATTTATTAGAACACGATTGATGTCGAAACATAGTAGATTCAGGTTGAATCTGCAGTATCTGTTCTTCCTTCTCAATGATGCTAACTACCGACAGTTGAAAAGTGGTATCTATTATACGATGATGGTTACTAACCCACGAGAGAGATACACTGCTGGTAGATACTTGAACGAATTGAAAGGTTACCAATTAGAATCGAATTTAATGAGTATTTTCGCAAAATTGAGAAATACGGATCAATTTTGGCGACAACCGTCCAATAATGTAAAATGCATGACTTTGCATTACGGTCCAGCGACGTGGTTTTTGACTTTGAGTCCTAGTGAATGGAAATGGTCCGATTTGGGTGAATATTTACGAGATATGAATCCCGATAAAGAGAAGTTAGGCATCAGCGAACTAATCGCATACGATCCTGTAAGTACTTCTAGATTCATGTGCATAAAATTCAAAGCCATGATTGATTTTATTTGTTCGTCCGATAATCCAATAGGAAAGGTTATTCATTACTTCTGGCGACTGGAATATCAACGTAGAAGTATCCAGCACATGCATTGTATGATTTGGATAAAAGATGCTCCAGTATTAGGAAAATCGCCGGATGAAGAAGTTGCTACGTTTATTCAAAAATACGTAACGTGTGAAATTCCAGATGAAAATGTTTCGCCAACGTTGTACGATACGGTAATAAGTGATCAGAATCATAAACATAACTCGTATTGCATGCGTACGAAAAAAACGGAAACTAATATATACAGAAAGTGTCGGTTCGATTTTCCTCGGCCAGTTACTGAGAATTTCGTTTTAAGAGACGTTATCACTTCGATAGTCGGTAGAAAAAATTTACGCAGTAAGAGCAGATTGTACGATCTTCCTCGCAAGGAGTCGGAAAGGTTTATAAATGATTATAATCCGTCTATCAAATTAGCCTGGGAGGGAAATATGGACATACAATTTATTAGAGAAAAATCAGAGTTTTTAAACTCATATTTAACAAAATACACGACAAAGTCGGAAAAATGCAATACAGACTTTGAAGTGATAGATTCGAATAAGTCCTTGGCATCGAAACTGTGGAATTTTGCAATGCGTTCATTAAATAACAGAGAATGCGGTGCTTTAGAAGCTGCGGATACACTATTAGGGAATCCCTTGTACGGTACGGATAATGATACCATGGTCAAATGGATCGATGTTAATGAGGTGAGAAATAGAAAAGTTAAAACATTTAATGAAATTTAAGCTCTCGATGAAAATTCTACGAATATTTACTGTTCGTCACTCATCGATGATTACTATCCAAATAGACCTCAGGAATTAGAATCATTGAATTTGTACGATTTTGCCAGATTCTGGGAAATTACGAAACAGATGTCAAATAATGACGAAGTCAAGTGTTACAAACTGGCATCGGGTTTATTTTTAAAAAAACGAAAAAAGGGTTATTTAATTAACCATTATCGATTTAATATAAAAACTGAGCCCGAAAAATACTTTTACTCGCTGCTTCTGTTCAAACCATGGAGAGATTTGAGTGAACTCAAAGGTACATTCGAGACTTACACGGATGCCTTTAAGAATTCAGAGTCTGTTTTAACGAAGGCAATGAAATATCACGAAAGGCTCGAAGAAATACAGAAAGCTTTTGAGAACGTTGCTGAATTAATCGAGAAGCGCGAAAATGATCTGAAAACAGCAGACAGAGACAAATCCGATGACGATGAACTGGATTGTAATCCGATAGAAGCTGACGACGCGATGAAAGATCTGGAAGATTTTGGTAAGATTGACGACCCGATTGATTTATCGCAAATGATGTCGCAATTGAACAAAGACCAGAAAAGAGTCTTTGATGGAGTATGCCAAGTTTTACAAGATAAGAATCAGATTCTGCGACTGTACGTAAGTGGCGAGGGTGGTACAGGGAAAAGTTTTCTAATTGAAACGATTAAACATTGGATCAGAATAAATTTGGAAAAAACGACTGCCATATCTGCTCCCACGGGTATCGCAGCATTCAATATCGATGGCTTGACAATCCATAGAATGTTTCAACTACCGGTTAGTCATGAATCTACACCAAAATATACGCAATTGTCAGACATGGTCTTGAAAACTTTGAGAGACAAATTAAAGAATGTCGAATTATTTATAATCGAAGGAATTACATGTAACAATGCAATGATGGATTTAGGAACGACTGTATTCAGTGATGGTCAAGCCTATGTAGGTTTGTCACGAGTAAGTAAATTGGAAGGCCTACATTTGATAAATTTCAATCCAGCATCAGTTAAAGCAAACTCGAGAGCCATTGTAGAATCGACTGAGATCTATATTCAAATCTGAACTGCCACAAATCAATCCGTCCGAGAAAAAGGTTGTGAAAATGTACGATCGTCGATGGGATATCCCTAATATCATTGATGATATGCAGAATTATGATTGTGAGGAACCAGAAAGTATAGTTACGTGGAAAATATATGGCCTTTGCAATAACGATGCTGTTTCGTGTTACGCTAATGTAATATTACAATGTGCGTTTCATTGCGTACGTATTAGGCAACAAATACTGAAAAATAAAGCATCGAATGCATTGATTGATGCTATCTGCGCGTATGGTGAACGTAAATATTGCAACATTCAAGCGGTTAGAAGATCTGTCGGAAAACGCTTCGAAGAACGAACACAACAAGATGTTTCGGAATTTTTTACGGCTCTAATGTCGACGTATTCCGACATCAATGATGTATTAAAACTCGAATTAAAGCACGTAACATGTTGCTCGAATGTCAAATGTAATTACAATGTAACTAAGCTGGAAAGCAGTAGTTTGTTAATATTACCTATACATTCGACATTAAAAAGGAAAAAAGGTGTCACTCTACAAAGTTTGATTAATGTAGAATTTTTAAATGGGAAACGATAAACGGCAATTGTAACGAATGTAAGGGCACCGTGTTGAAAAAGAAAACCGTAATCGAATCAACTTTATCCGTCGTAGTAATACAGCTCAATTTATATACTTTTATAAACGGTGCTTCTAAAAAAATTATCAACAATCGAATGACCGCCGTGCCGACGAGTAATATCACGATTAATAAAAAAAAGTACAAGCTAATAAGCGCTATATTTCACGAAGGTGAAGAAATGAATCGTGGTCACTACACGTGTATGTTGAGAGCTGACACAAAATCGGAATGGTATTACTCTAATGATATGGAAGTGTTCAAGAAAAAATGGCCCAAAGGAGCACAAGGGGCATACATATTGTTCTTAGAACAGATTAAATAATGGCGCTGTATAAAGGCTGCCGTAAACGCTACATTAAAACATCAACTGTTCTAGCGCTGTATAAAAGTTGCCGTAAGCGCCAAAATAAAATATCGGCTGCTCTGGCGCTTTATAAAAGCTGCTGTAAGCGCTGCATTAAAACGAGTGCAATAAGTTTCTAATTTGACCTAGGCTTCATGACATTTCAAAAAGTATCATCAAGAAAAAAATTATCAGACAGAAATATGTATGTCGTGTTAAAATCGGAGAGACGAAGAAAAATATATGGTTGCGTTCTCACGAGAATGGGCGATGGAGGGGCCCATTCTTTATTTTCAATATTCATACAAGAATATAAATTCATTCTGTTGCAATTGAAATAAATGTGCAATGTATCGTTAAAAGTTATTACAATTATACAAACATTTACATATATGATTAAATAAAATATATATGTATACTATAATATAATTATATATTTTATATATGTACATATATACCATATATTTCAATTATTTTGAACTGTATTGCATAAATTGTTACTTATACAAAGTTATGTGATAAGAATCGAAAATACATATATTTGTGATACTTGAATTACTAGAAAGCTGCTCTATATATCTGTACTTTAAAAAGTAAGTGATATCCTAAAAAAATCATAAAAATGAAAAGTCAGGCCATGTTCAAAAGAAGGTACTTAAAATTTAAACGATCTAATAATAAATTATCACAAAAGTAACTGATATGTTATTCAAGGTGCCAGTTCAAAGTGAACATACGTAAAGTGTATATTATCTAAATTTAGTAATAATATATTACCATGAAAAGTAACTGTGATATTTTATTCAAGGTGCAAGTTCACATTGAATATACATACATATAAGTAAAACTGATTACAATTTGATTCTAGAAAATAAGTGCGATATGTTATTCTTAGTGCACAAAATATAATAGTCGTTTATAGAGATTTGATTTGAAATTCATACTAGCCCGTACAATGAAAAATAATTGCTCGTAATTCCAGAGTACCAATTTGTTAATGACTCAGAAAAATAACGTTCTCCACCCTGGTGAACGTCTACGGCAGTCAGGATCTATTCGTGAACGAGTACCGCACCTTGCTGGCCGACAGATTGTTATCGCAACTGAACTATCACACTGAACGGGAGATACGTCACTTGGAATTGCTAAAGAGACGCTTCGGGGAGAATCAGTTGCACTACTGCGAGGTCATGCTGAAGGACGTTTACGACTCGAAGAGGATAGACGGCAACATCCACTCCGACACCAGTTATAATTTGCAGAGGGAGCTCTTCCCTACTTCCGCTCTTATCCTGTCGGCGCAATTTTGGCCGCCGTTCAAGGAGGACTGGCAATTGAAGCTACCGAGCGTCGTGCAGAATCAGTTGAACAAGTATGTGAAGGCGTTCGAGGCCTTGAAGGGAAACAGGACGCTCTGCTGGAAACCTCACTTGGGAAATGTGAGCCTGGAAATCGAATTGAAGGATAGAAAGCTGGACATACGTACGTTACGCCGATACACGCGACAATTATCCTGCACTTTCAGGATAAAAGTAAGTACATAGTAGCCGATTTATCATCGGGCGTGATCAAGCAGTGAGTTTAGGTCCGTTCTTTTCAGCTGAATGTGGAATAAAAAATAAACTCTGAACTAGCGCAACCAGTTCGGCTGAAAAGAGCAAATCCAAACTCTTCAGCTGAACAAAGAACTATTGTCACTAATTAAAGTTGAATTGCAGATGAATGGGCTTTGCAAGACTTGGCGGAAGTGATGCACGCTCCGGCGACCGTTTTACGACGTAAGATGACGTTTTGGGTGTCGCAGGGTCTTCTGAGGGAAACTACCAATGATGTTTATATCTTGCAAGAGGAGAGTACGTCCAAGAATCGTTTGTCAACGGACCTCGTCGAGGAGGAGGAGACCGAAAGCGTCATGGCCTCGGCCAGCGACCAGAGGGAGGAGGAACTGCAAGTTTTTTGGTCGTACATCGTCGGAATGTTGACGAATCTAGATTCGATGCCGATCGAAAGGATTCATCAGATGCTGAAGATGTTTGCGTCTCAAGGACCGGGCGCCGTCGAATGCGGTTTACCGGAACTGAGGCAATTTCTGGACAGGAAAGTCAGGGAACATCAATTATTGCTATCCGGTAGTTTCTATCGATTGCCGAAGTCATAAGTTTTTTTATTGTTTTACATTATTCTAACGTTTCATTAAATGAACTTGTACAGTTTGTGTAACGATAAAAAAATATAATTTGTGATATTATATTTAAGAGCGATTTCTTATCATATAAAAGGATTTTTCTTTTGACAGAAAAATAAAGCTTATGTATAAATGATGTATTCCAATATATTTCGCATAAAATGTCAATTTAATAAGTAATTAACACACGTGTACACAACTATAAAATAGAAATCCTATTCAATTCCTTTGAAAGTCAAAAGAAGCTTGTCGAGTATTGAAAAATATTTTTATTGCCGTTTATCATAGTATTTATACATGTCTGTTGTATAAACTATTTTCTTATTTGCACTTTTATTGCAAATCATAATGTTTTCTTTCGTAAGTAGCGTACAGTAATATTTTATGATTCACATCAATAATCAGATCTTTCCGAGATTTCAGAAAATAGATTAGCATCTCATTGTCACTTATACATTAATATTGCCACATATATCCTGCACATCTCAACATTAAAATAAAATATGAAACTAAAAAATTATCATATAATAAATTTCGGCAAAAAAACTATATATATAACTATAGAATAATAAATGTAAATTCGCATGCCATATAAGATCTAACAAGATTGCTTGCACATATATATATTCCTTATATAACTTATCTGTATACATATTTATAAATATAACAGGGTATAAATAAATTACGCCAGGAATTTACTTTTGCGATGATGATAATAGAAATAAATCGGTAGAAAAATTTTAATAAAAATATATGTATATACACACAGAGTATATACAATTTACAGTTGTTATGAAATTATTGCAGTATAAGGACATAAACTTTCGTTGCAACAAATGCAAATATTTAAAAAAGTCACAGAGATATTTAAAAAAGTAACAGAGATAATTACAATATATTTATTACATATATATAATTTTATATATATATATATATATATATATATATATATATACACACACATAATTATATATATTACATAAATTGCAATTTCGCAAAAGTAAATCATGCGCATTTATTCGTATATCTTTCGGATGTTCAACTGAGTCTCAGTGCATATGTATAATACATTATGTATACATGTGTAATAATTTGTTTCTCACGCGCATACATGTATTAAACAGCATATACATAAAGAGTATACATATCTCTCTGATTTATATATAATATATTATATTATATAATCTCTATATATAATATAATATTTAGAATTAATATAATATATTAATAGATATATTATATATATATATATATAATATATAGATTATATAATAATAATATATTATATATAATATAATCGATCACGCTCGCGAATGCGCAAGTAATTAATACATACCTACGTATATGCAGTTTTTGCTGTTAATTGTACTTGAACGAAAAAAATAATTAAATGATTTAAATATAGCACATTTTAAATCAAGAAACTTATATAATCGAACTCTGTTTAGGAAACGTAGAACATTTCATTTGCCTCTGCCTTTACAAGAAACATTGGATAAGGTATGTCCTCCGGAAGATCCTATAAATTTGAATCACGAGTTGCACATTCTCGTTCGAGGTATACCCAAGAAATCTAAAGTGGTTTGGGAAAATTTGGTAGATATTAATAAAATGTATAAGGCTTTACAATGGTTGAAAGAAAATAATCCTCATTACTCAAAAATTCGTCTTCCAGCGTCATCTGATGATCTATTAAAGGATAAGTTGCAGGAAACAGAATATAGGATTGTCGATGAGGAAAGCGACAATGACGAAATAAATGAGGTGGTTGAGGAATTACCAGCATTGAATTTGTACAATGTACAGCAAAACAAAAACAATAATAATCAAACCGTTTTAAAACGTACGGCTTTTCTCACACAAATCACTGAACATTTGGATATTAACGATCAGTATACAATATACCCAATACACGCGAAAAGAATCGATAACGAATCTGCATTGAAGCTTTATCAAATGGTGAAAATTGAAGATTTTTCAATGGATAATCGTTATAAATATCTGGATGTCATGTGTTTCCCTGATTTATATCCTGATGGTGTCAATGGACAACGAGAAGATAGAAACTTTGCATTGCCGGAATATTTATTTATTAGAACACGATTGATGAAACATAGTAGATTCAGGTTGAATCTGCAGTATCTGTTCTTCCTTCTCAATGATGCTAACTACCGACAGTTGAAAAGTGGTATCTATTATACGATGATGGTTACTAACCCACGAGTGAGATACACTGCTGGTAGATACTTGAACGAATTGAAAGGTTACCAATTAGAATCGAATTTAATGAGTATTTTTGCAAAATTGAGAAATACGGATCAATTTTGGCGACAACCGTCCAATAATGTAAAATGCATGACTTTGCATTACGGTCCAGCGACGTGGTTTTTGACTTTGAGTCCTAGTGAATGGAAATGGTCCGATTTGGGTGAATATTTACGAGATATGAATCCCGATAAAGAGAAGTTAGGCATCAGCGAACTAATCGCATACGATCCTGTAAGTACTTCTAGATTCATGTGCATAAAATTCAAAGCCATGATTGATTTTATTTGTTCGTCCGATAATCCAATAGGAAAGGTTATTCATTACTTCTGGCGACTGGAATATCAACGTAGAAGTATCCAGCACATGCATTGTATGATTTGGATAAAAGATGCTCCAGTATTAGGAAAATCGCCGGATGAAGAAGTTGCTACGTTTATTTAAAAATACGTAACGTGTGAAATTCCAGATGAAAATGTTTCGCCAACGTTGTACGATACGGTAATAAGTGATCAGAATCATAAACATAACTCGTATTGCATGCGTACGAAAAAAACGGAAACTAATATATACAGAAAGTGTCGGTTCGATTTTCCTCGGCCAGTTACTGAGAATTTCGTTTTAAGAGACGTTATCACTTCGATAGTCGGTAGAAAAAATTTACGCAGTAAGAGCAGATTGTACGATCTTCCTCGCAAGGAGTCGGAAAGGTTTATAAATGATTATAATCCGTCTATCAAATTAGCCTGGGAGGGAAATATGGACATACAATTTATTAGAGAAAAATCAGAGTTTTTAAACTCATATTTAACAAAATACACGACAAAGTCGGAAAAATGCAATACAGACTTTGAAGTGATAGATTCGAATAAGTCCTTGGCATCGAAACTGTGGAATTTTGCAATGCGTTCATTAAATAACAGAGAATGCGGTGCTTTAGAAGCTGCGGATACACTATTAGGGAATCCCTTGTACGGTACGGATAATGATACCATGGTCAAATGGATCGATGTTAATGAGGTGAGAAATAGAAAAGTTAAAACATTTAATGAAATTTAAGCTCTCGATGAAAATTCTACGAATATTTACTGTTCGTCACTCATCGATGATTACTATCCAAATAGACCTCAGGAATTAGAATCATTGAATTTGTACGATTTTGCCAGATTCTGGGAAATTACGAAACAGATGTCAAATAATGACGAAGTCAAGTGTTACAAACTGGCATCGGGTTTATTTTTAAAAAAACAAAAAAGGGTTATTTAATTAACCATTATCGATTTAATATAAAAACTGAGCCCGAAAAATACTTTTACTCGCTGCTTCTGTTCAAACCATGGAGAGATTTGAGTGAACTCAAAGGTACATTCGAGACTTACACGGATGCCTTTAAGAATTCAGAGTTTGTTTTAACGAAGGCAATGAAATATCACGAAAGGCTCGAAGAAATACAGAAAGCTTTTGAGAACGTTGCTGAATTAATCGAGAAGCGCGAAAATGATCTGAAAACAGCAGACAGAGACAAATCCGATGACGATGAACTGGATTGTAATCCGATAGAAGCTGACGACGCGATGAAAGATCTGGAAGATTTTGGTAAGATTGACGACCCGATTGATTTATCGCAAATGATGTCGCAATTGAACAAAGACCAGAAAAGAGTCTTTGATGGAGTATGCCAAGTTTTACAAGATAAGAATCAGATTCTGCGACTGTACGTAAGTGGCGAGGGTGGTACAGGGAAAAGTTTTCTAATTGAAACGATTAAACATTGGATCAGAATAAATTTGGAAAAAACGACTGCCATATCTGCTCCCACGGGTATCGCAGCATTCAATATCGATGGCTTGACAATCCATAGAATGTTTCAACTACCGGTTAGTCATGAATCTACACCAAAATATACGCAATTGTCAGACATGGTCTTGAAAATTTTGAGAGACAAATTAAAGAATGTCGAATTATTTATAATCGAAGGAATTACATGTAACAATGCAATGATGGATTTAGGAACGACTGTATTCAGTGATGGTCAAGCCTATGTAGGTTTGTCACGAGTAAGTAAATTGGAAGGCCTACATTTGATAAATTTCAATCCAGCATCAGTTAAAGCAAACTCGAGAGCCATTGTAGAATCGACTGAGATCTATATTCAAATCTGAACTGCCACAAATCAATCCGTCCGAGAAAAAGGTTGTGAAAATGTACGATCGTCGATGGGATATCCCTAATATCATTAATGATATGCAGAATTATGATTGTGAGGAACCAGAAAGTATAGTTACGTGGAAAATATATGGCCTTTGCAATAACGATGCTGTTTCGTGTTACGCTAATGTAATATTACAATGTGCGTTTCATTGCGTACGTATTAGGCAACAAATACTGAAAAATAAAGCATCGAATGCATTGATTGATGCTATCTGCGCGTATGGTGAACGTAAATATTGCAACATTCAAGCGGTTAGAAGATCTGTCGGAAAACGCTTCGAAGAACGAACACAACAAGATGTTTCGGAATTTTTTACGGCTCTAATGTCGACGTATTCCGACATCAATGATGTATTAAAACTCGAATTAAAGCACGTAACATGTTGCTCGAATGTCAAATGTAATTACAATGTAACTAAGCTGGAAAGCAGTAGTTTGTTAATATTACCTATACATTCGACATTAAAAAGGAAAAAAGGTGTCACTCTACAAAGTTTGATTAATGTAGAATTTTT